AAATTGTGCTATTTTCCCCAACAATCTAAAGCAACTATGAATTTGGAATAAAACAGTCCTTGAAAAATAATTTTCTAGTTGTGATAAAATTGTTTTAATGACCATTTTATATTATTTTAAAACAAACATAATTGTGATTTAAAAAAATGAAAAATAACAGAAGAAGAGAATAAAATAGTATCAAGAAATATGTAAATGATGTATATCTCATGGTATGTTTTTGTTTCACCGATTAGAAGCTTAGCTTCTTCTAACAGTCTTTAGATAAAGAGATCCCAAATGATGATAGTCGCGTAAGATAACACGTTTCTTTGTGTCACAGTATCCATGGTATCCCCTCTTGTTCTATTTTGGCCTTGGCATAAACATGAGCAAGGGAAGAGACATTTAACCTGCCAGGACAAGAGTCTGATTCACATAACCAGGGCAACTAAATAATCTAAGTGATGACTCCTTATTAGCCATTACCACTGAAGTTCCCTAGGACATTCTTCTATTTCCTCTTTAGACATCTGATTGTTTCTTTGGGTTGTCGATCCATACAAATTTTAATTATTATTGTTTTGTTAGATTTGTTAGGTTCTATGTGATATATACCTAAAGGACAGAGACATTCCATTGAGTAGTTTGTGTAGTTTATAAATAAAAAATTAAAAATCCAAATTTATGGAAGGTGAGAAAAAATAATAATACAGTGAAATAGTTTTAATTTTCCGACGTTCTTACCCTCAAAGCCAGGCTACTTAAGTTTAGGTTCGTGTGTCAAAATAAAGAGTAATGCTATATGGACTTAAAAAATAAACTTGATAATCTCAACCATTGATTTCACTATGGGTCCCAACATTTATTAGAATCCACTACCTATTCAATGGTTGAGATTATCAAGTCTAATTTTTAAGTTTAGTTTTTAAGTCCATCTAGCATTATTCCAGAATAAATTAGACAAATAGATACTTAAATTTCTATGAAACAAAACAAGTGTAGACATAGGAAAATATGAGGCTAATAGAATTATAAGATATACTGTATGGATAATTATTCCAAATTTTATACAAAAGCCACCTCATATATGATGCATCCATGGAACATGAATTATGTAGCTTTTGAGACAGACAAACCTACATTAACACAGGCCTTGTTTTGGCTGTGTCTAAAACTTTCAGAATATATAAATATTTTATATGGATTGTTTTGGCTATGGCTTCTTTGAAAAAAAAAAATAGAAAGGAATATATTTGTTTTCATATAGTCTTTGATTGCCAAATCAGTTTTTTCATTAACATTTTGGACCATAACACCATTCTATAATAAAATCTAATTAACTAGTTGGCTGTTATAGGTCTGTGATATTACTACTGTAATTATGATAGGCTGTCATATCAATAAATTTGTAGACCTTAATAACTGTTCATTTTTGTATGACACCTCCCAAATTCCATAGCCTATTAATGATACTGATGGACTATGTTTGGTGATTTTGTTTTGGCGTTTTAGTTGTGACTACTTCTTGTGAATAACACGAGAGAAATTTGAAGGAAAGTATTTGTTCAAGTTTCTGGACCTGTCGAAATATTGTGAATATTTATTACTATAGATATAATGTTTGCAATTATTGGGTACAAACTTCATTGCATGAGTATATATGTATGTGATAACTAAATCACATTAGTTAGAGGATTTTACGCAATTTGTGATCATTCAACACTACTAGCATTTATATTCCAACTTTTGACCAGGTTGGCACCTAAATCATCTATATGTTCAGCTATATATTTAGCATTTTATTTTCACATATATCTAGTATGTGATTGGTCATTGGTGATATTTTTCACTGATTGTACAATGACATCTTGAGTTACCGTTATTGAGTCATTCTTGTGAGGAGCTTCTCATACGTATGGATTTTAATACTTGCAACACAATACTTGCAACACAGTGACTTTTGGTGCAAATGATTGGGTTGGAATGGGGATGTTGGTATAGTTTGGTCCAATACAAAAGGTTTTTCATTTATATTATATTGATAGGTTGTTTAGAAAGAACACTTCTATTGAAAAAGAGTAAACCAATAGTCCAACAAATGAACAAAAGGTGACCTTTGACAAAATTATTATTATTTCTTAGACCAATTAGTGTAAATCAATTATTTTTTTAAGAATGTCTATTATGACAATGGGATTAATGTCTCTATTAAAATTTTGTCAAAAAACTTTAGATGCCATATGGATTAGTCCAAGAATATCAAGATGCATGATAAACTTCGGGAAGAGCACTATGATTTCTTTCTGCCCCAAAAGACATGTAGTTCTATTACTAATGTGATGCTTTTACACAATTAGTTTCGGTGTCAAAGTTTTATTTCTTTTTGATGCCTTAACATTTTTATGTAACCTTTGGAGATAGTTTAGATTTATGTCGTGGGGATTTTCCTGACATCGAAGTATTTACGAGAAAGATTGTGCGCAAAAATTGTATCATGCTTTTTATGTGGACCTTTAAAAAGGATATTGGTTGTTTTTTTTTAAATAAAAAAAAAGGTGGTTGAATGAAAAGCTGTAAGCTATAGTTGTAGTCTTCTATTCTTTAGTATTCAAAAGGCAAATAATCTGCCGGTTCCTACTGTGACACTCCGACTATATTATGATATTATTATATGCTTTCCTTTTATCACATTTTGACTGCTCTAGACTAGTTGTAAGCATGAGTTTTATATTTATCAAATTGAGGTGTATTTGTGTTCTGTGTATATGCAAGCCTCGAGTTCATCTTTTTCCTTGAATTTAATTTATTCAATATGTTGGGCAAGAAATTCTTGCAATGTGGGGTTGATACAAATGCTACTTTTTTGAAGCATGAGTAAATTTGTCATGAGAATTCTTGGAATTGTGGGGATAAAATTTAAGATAATAAAATATATATGAAGGACCTACTGAACTTTCTTAATTCTGTTGTAATCTTTCATTTGGAGAGATATTTATATAAATTGTTTCATACCTAAGTGCTTTTCAGACAAATGCATTTTAATGTGTTGTTTGTTAGTATTATTTGAAATACATGTTCAAATCTTTGCTTATGAGAAAAACTGTCTCAAGAACTATCGAGAAGAATGTGTTTAAGCCCATAAGGGAGTCACCTAGGGAGGTAACTCACCTTCTGTGATGGGGGTCCCCATAAAGAAAGTTCAATGGATAGAAATAATTCATATTGTGTGACTCATTAGCACCGTTGTTGAGAAAAAATATTTTAAGAGGAAATATTTTCATGCTTTTTCCTATGATAGAGGTGCATATGTAGTGTGACACTAAGGAAGAATTTTATCTTAAATGAGAATGAGGCAGGAACATTCCTATAGGGTATTGTGCATATGTACACTTGGATGACTCACCTAAGTGAGAGTAGTCGTGAGACCACAACTATGAGAATTGAGCTACTCTCTAGAAACTCTCATGAGAATCAAGATCATGTGTATGACAATTAAACGCACTGACCTGAGAATTTTGACAAATATCGGTACTCTGTGTGTGATAGTTAAACTCTAGGTCAAAGGGTCTAGTTCAAGCCTTTGGTCACTATGATCCTTCAAAGGGAAATTGTCAACATTAAGTGAGGTTCAAGTCCGGAAGACACCTACACCTACTGCACAATATTATAATTGCCATTATTTTCTATATATTTTATATTTAAAAATTTCTCAAGTTTTAAAAACTTGTGGGAGATTGTTGAAATATATTAAAGTTTTTTAAAACTTTCTAATTATTTTATTTTAGTTACAACCGTTATAATTGGAAACTTGAATGGCAGATTCAATTTTGCCAGTAATCTAAGATTTAATGGACTAGCTGTTACAAAGAAAAAAGTTACATAAAGAAGCCATCAGAGGCGGCCCATAGTGATCAGTAGTCGATGGGGATCAACCATATTCACAATTAGTCATTTGCCTCATTTGTTATATGTTCTATCAATTTATCTTTTAATTTGATTTCTTTTACGACCTCTTTCTTCTCAATTTATTTATATAATAAAGTAATTTATAATTCAAATTTCAAAAAATAAATAAAATAATTTTTGTTATTCGTGGTTGAGATTGCTTTAATTTTACTTTAAAATTATTCTAACGATTAATATTAATACCCTAAATTTAATAGAAAAAATAGGCCCCTAAGGGTGTATTTAGAGTAACTTTTTAAAAGTACTTCTACAAATTATTTCTCATAAATACTTTTAAAAAAATAGTGTTTGAAACCACCTCACCACTATCTCCATCACCACCACCACCAGCGCCGCCGCACTGCCGTCGTCGCCGTCACTACCACCACCACCACTATCATCGTCGTCGATGTCGCCACCACCACAGCCATCGTCGCAGCCGCCACTATCACCACCGCCACCACCATTGTCATTGCCACCCACAATAACCATCACCGTCTCCTACCACCACCATTGTCATCCACCACCTCTCATTCTCACTACAAATTGATGCTTAATTTATTTATCTCTTCTTTATGTTTATGATTTGATTTTGAATATGAATACAAATATATTTATTGATTATCATTTTTTATTACTTTGTGCCTTTAGACAGACAATAACTAGTATTCTACAATAGTAGTATAGAATTTTTACTATTATAATTTTATGAATAACTTCGATTCAAATTAGATTTATCCCAATCTTCCAGTGTACATGACCCCTTGAAGAGATGCTGTTGTGAGCATATCTGAGTTAGATCTTAAAGTTGCATATGTTCGTTAATACATTCACGTAGATAGGTATAATTGTTTTAGGATAGTGATTATATGTCTCTTAGATATCATAGGTCAGCTATTTCTAATTTATTATTGTCTATTTTATACTATCCTAAATCAAATGCTATAGTATTATATATAATTTGATTTATATTCTTGTTTTATGATTTTATAAACGACTCGTTAATTAATATTCATAAAATTGTGATATTTTCCCCTATAGTAATTATCAGTGTTATCAGAAATGGAAAAGGAATGGAACCGGATAAAAATCGTTAAATCTGCNATTGCTATAATATTATATATATTTGATTTATATTCTTGTTTTATGATTTTATAAACGACTCGTTAATTAATATTCATAAAATTGTGATATTTTCCCCTATAGTAATTATCAGTGTTATCAGAAATGGAAAAGGAATGGAACCGGATAAAAATCGTTAAATCTGCTGGTTTTTTTTGGAAAAAGCCGTGAACCGGACGATTTGAAGTCTTAAAAAAAAAAAATTAATCTGATGTGCTTTTTTTTATTTGCGCATTCTGATTTTGCCCTAAATTGCAGAAGCCAGCGAAAGAGAAGTGAGAACTCAGAAGAGACCGCAGCAGCTTCATCTCACCAGCAATAGCCAGGCAGCGATTAATGCTCAGGCGACACTCAGCCGACAACTCAGGTGTCCATTGAGGCTGTTCAGTACTCAGGTGCACTCGGGCGACCACTCAGCCGACGAAGGAAACAGCGACGATTACTGCTCTGCTCAGTTCTCAGGCGGAGGCGACAACTCAGGCGACCTCTCCGACGACGAAAAGCAGCTAAAGGAAGGAGACTACTGCTCTGTTACTCACTCAGCAGTCAATCGATCTCTCTTAGTCAGTCGATCAGTTCAACGCGCCACTGCTCCAGATCTCTGCTGTCTGTGACTCTGTAACGTTAAGGTAAAATTCACAATCTTAACGTTTGCTGAGTTCTTTTATTATGGAACAAGTTTGAAAAATCTAACTGCAATTACTATAACTCATCTGAGCAGTGAAAAGAAAATCATCTGGGTCATCAACTGAAAAGAAATGAAGGTTGGAACTCAGGAAAAAAACACAATTAAACACACTTAACTAAAAACACACTTTAATTATTTGATGTTTATACTGCACATTGCTGGGTATGCCATGAATTGATGTTAGTGTGGTGTTATTGTCTATTTGTGCTACATTAAGATTGTTAAGATTGTTGAGATTGTTAAATTTGTAAATTGAGATTGTAAATTAAGACTGCTAAGTTTATGGAAAATTATGATACCGTTTGTAGTCCTGTCATTTCATTGTGTTTACCTAACTTTGCATCAAAATCAGGATCATGAAATTCATACTTCGTATGTCGAAGTACATAAGAGAGAATATATAATCCTTTTCTCTTCAAGAAAATATTTCTTTTTGATGCAATTCTGTTATTTCTTTTTAATTCATACAGTGCCCAAGTACAGTGTTATTTACCCCTAATCGTCTTCAAGAATATATTATTTCTTTTGTTCTTTTTAAAAAATGACAAAAGTACCAATTTTCGTGCGAAGAGAAAAACGAAAGGAGAGGAAGAGGGAGGGGAGGGAAGAAAGAGGGGGGGGGGGAGAAGAGAGAGAGAACACTGCTTGGGAACTTCATCCACTTGCAACAAAAAAATTACCTTAGATTTTCATTTCTATTAATTCACTTGATTTATTTTAATATGCTCATGTAACGCATATGTGAAGCATTTTTTAGTGTCGTGTTTGCGAACATGAGAGGGAGAGATGTCTAGAAAAGAGAGATGTGAGAGAGAGTGGATAGTTTCACTTGAAAAGTAACTATAAATAAACTAATATTAGGAAACTACTACTCAACTACTAATAAAGTGAGAGGACACCAAACCCCCCTCCTCCCTCCTCCATAATATAGGTAATTTGTGCAAGTTATCTTCAATTAGATTCATTCACTNCTACTCAACTACTAATAAAGTGAGAGGACACCAAACCCCCCTCCTCCATAATATAGGTAATTTGTGCAAGTTATCTTCAATTAGATTCATTCACTGAATATGTGAGGCTTGTAAAATTTTAAGTAAAATCAAAGTTTGTATGACTGTCATTAGTTAAAAGCACGTGTATATGGTAAATTCCCACCACAGGAAGAAAAACCTCTAACATTTTATTGAAAATATGACACTTGTACACCCCATGCATACATGACAACCACACACAACCTCGTACAAAGATCATAATGGTGATATCACCATGGGATTACTGATATGTAATATATATCTCCAAGGTCATATCTTGCGCATGAGGAGATTCACGCCATGCTTAGGCTCCAAAAGCAGACCAAAGTGTGGGGCGTGGCAATAGTTAGGCGACAAGGAGAAAGAGAAGTTGGGTAAGATGAGAGCAAGAATGACTTTCATCTCCAACATGGCTAGACTCTGGCCAGGACATATACGTGCCCCGATGCCAAATGGTGCATAGGCATGTGGGTATGTGCATGCTCCCGATATTCCATTAGCAAACCTCGCTGGATTGAACTTGTCTGCTTCGGGCCCCCAAAGTTTGGGGTCTTGGTGCAATGCTAGCAGCCATATCCAAATGTTTACACCTTTAGGAATCCTTAGTTTTCCAAGCTTCACATCTTGCAAGGCCTCCCTTGAAACAAATGCCACTGGCGGATAGAGTCGTAGCACCTCTTGTATGACCATCTTCAACTGCATCAAACCAACAAAATTTAGATTTTGATCATCATATTTGACAATATATGACAGGACGTTGGTGGCCATCCAACTAGGAGCTGACACGTGGCTGCCTATAATGGTAAGAGCGTGTGGGATGGTTTCCTGGTATCCAAGACCGAGCATAGGGTGCTTAGGCAAAGACTGAGCATAGGATGCTTGGCCTGCAAATGAATGTTTACTTGGTCTATGCCGAGTATTAGATGACATCGATATATGAGCTTTGAGCAGCGCGTTAATGTGATAAATCATCATTAGCTGTCAAATCCTCACACAACTGAAGACTAACCATCAAAATGACAAGGCATGGCCTTTACTGTAGGGAAGGAGCCCTAAGGTGTTCCCGCAGTGATCCTTGTGCCTACTCATAAATGATCGTCGACAAACTGTGAATATTGGGGGNTGAGCAGCGCGTTAATGTGATAAATCATCATTAGCTGTCAAATCCTCACACAACTGTATACTAACCATCAAAATGACAAGGCATGGCCTTTACTGTAGGGAAGGAGCCCTAAGGTGTTCCCGCAGTGATCCTTGTGCCTACTCATAAATGATCGTCGACAAACTGTGAATATTGGGGTTGTAGCACTCGATGTTTGGGAGATGGAGTAATAAGTGTACAATCGAATCTCAGCATGTAAACTTGGATGCCCAATCACTTGACATTAATAAGTCGTGACAGGATAACGCTTATTACTCTAGACAGAGGATACATNTGTAGCACTCGATGTTTGGGAGATGGAGTAATAAGTGTACAATCGAATCTCAGCATGTAAACTTGGATGCCCAATCGCTTGACATTAATAAGTCGTGACAGGATAACGCTTATTACTCTAGACAGAGGATACATGCTACGAAGCCTAGGATTGGAGATTGAATGGGTGCCACCTCATTGCTATGAAAGGTATAATTACCCCATTGAGACCAAACTTAGGTACACAAGCAAGAATAACTCTGCATGCATTGTATATTCGTTTATACTTTAAGCACCGATTGATTTAAATATCGAAGAGGATAAACTGGGTGTATTCCGGGTCCTTTTTTGACGTTATTCCCAGTTTTAGGATCAATCATTGGACTCACCCTGAANAACCCCATTGAGACCAAACTTAGGTACACAAGCAAGAATAACTCTGCATGCATTGTATATTCGTTTATACTTTAAGCACCGACTGACTTAAATATCGAAGAGGATTAGCTGGGTGTATTCTGGGTCCTTTTTTGACGTTATTCCCAGTTTTAGGATCAATCATTGGACTCACCCTGAAGGTTGCTATCTCAATCCAATGCAGAAAATCAACCATGCAGTATAATTAAAATATTAACACTCAATTTAGTCTCGTTTAGTCGATTTCGGGAGGAGTAGATTGGATGCAGACCAAACTGGTGTATTTATTCATGGTATGTTCATGTTGTTCTGGCGCATACCACTTTCATCTTGCCAAGCTTTTCACCATCCGGCATATTTCCCCCACAAACTTCCAGAATTTCAGCACGAACACGAGCTTGCCATTCGGGATGTGAAGCCAATAACATTAAACCCCATATTGTGGCAATGGCAGTGACCTCAAATGCAGCAAGGTAAAGATCCTTGCAATTATCAACTATAAATTTTTCAGGTGTCGATGGCCCAAGTTCACCACGCTTGGCACCATCCATGAGTACTTGTATCATGTCGTCGGCCACAGCTCCGTTAAGTTTCTTTGTTGTATCTATGATCATCGAGTGAACCTCTTTCTCTAGTCTCCACAAATCTCTATTTTTCTTGGTTGGAAGATATCTGAACCAAAAAATTCACAATAATTTGTTTGCGGAATAAACATGCAAATACAAGAGGCAACTTCATCATAGTTTTCAGCATTAATCAACATTGAGTACTAACTTATTGAATCTGATGCACATGTCCTCGATGCATCAGTGAAGTGTCAAAAAGGTTTTGTCATTGTGAATACAAACTGGTATAGTGTCGTTCATTGTAACTACACATCGATGCAAAATCACATTCTTTTGAGTGTTGTCATTGCAGCAGTAATTTATTTGAATCAGTGTTGAGTCACTTCATCATGTGACTTGTTGAAAAATCATGTAACTCCAACAACAACAATCTATTAATGCTGCCTATTTAATCAATGTCTGTGAAACGCTTTATTGTATACACTTCATCTCTAACCATAAATTATAGTCCACGAATGTTCATTCCTAACTGTTGCCTATTGGATTATATGGCCTCATGCACTCATATCTCACACTAACACGAGAGAGAGAGAGAGAGAGAGAGAGACAGTAGTTACGCACCTATAGAAAGGAAGCCCATTGAGAATGGTGGGTGATTCTGAGGCCTTGATAAGTGCTCTACACTTCGGAAGTAATTCAGCCCCGATAGAATAATTGCTCCCAAACGTAATTCTGGAGAATACATGAGATGTGAATTCTCTCACATAATCATCCACTTTTATGTCTGCAGTACCACCCTCACTTTCAACCACACTCTCCCATGATTTCACCAATGTGCTTGCAGACTCCACCACTATATTCAACATATCCTGCAATAAGTGGTTACAGCGATTAAATCCATCATATGTGCATTCAGGCTTCGTGTTTCTAATGAAACGGCACGATATTGGAGAGTTCGGGTTTAGGTTTAACAGGTTAATTTGATTAGTAAACAGGAATCCAACTTAACACAACAGAAATCAGCTATGTACATGGTTTATAGACATTACATACAAGGCATGAAACTGGATTAATTAACTAAAAACATTGACAGCCATATGTGACCAACAACTATTTGGTCATATTCTTAATAAACATTGACGAGTGGAACAAAATTATACCTTAACCTTGTCCATGTAGAGCTGAGGGGCTATGGTTTTTCTCTGATGTGACCAAACTCCACGGTTGGTGGTAATTAGGCCCTTGCCTAATAAAGGTCCCCTGTCCTTCTGTAGATACGCAGGCTTCCCCAAGTCCAGTGACTTGCATTGGTTTATTTCTTTCACCAGATAAGGATCTGCCACATACAACACTCGTACCCTCCCAAGGGAAAATGAAAAAGTTATTCCTGGTATGACACAATATGTCTGCTGTCAGAGACGGATCCAAGAATTTATGAAAAGACTTCAATTATTGTTGTAAACAAAATTGAGGGATAAGCTAGCTTATGTAATTTGAGAGTGTCATTGTTCACAATATTATGATAGATAAAAGTTTTGGAGGGCAAATGTCTACGCCAATCACCCTAAATTCGCCAATCATAATAACAAAACTAATTAACATATGACCTTCAGTGAAATCATAATTAATCAGATGAAAAAACAAAGAAACATTATTTGTTTGAAATGATCCGAATTCGAATTTTGTGACTGGAAAATACATGTATTGACTTTGAGTGGTGCAAAAAGTCCAACACAAGTAAACTTGAAGAATATGAAACAAAGATAGATAATAAACGACAACAAATGTGAGTTATACCATATTGCTTAGTCCACTGNCTTGATGATGTAATTTCCGTGAAGAATATGAAATAAAGATAGATAATAAACGACAAGAAATGTGAGTTATACCATATTGCTTAGTCCACTGATTGAAATGTGGGAAGAGAATGGAAGAAGTGTCGAGTGGTGGAGATTGTTCCCATTTATCGCTTGAAAACTCCGAAAGCTTGACCATCGATTTCATGTGCTTTATTTCAGGAATGTTACCCATCATAAAGGAAGGTTTGGGACCATCAATCCCTTGCCTTCGAAGCTTTAATCGAAGCCTTTGAGGCTTCAGCAACAGATCATAACAGAGACGAATGCATATAAGCAATACAATACTAGCACATGCATAGCTATAGGGAAGCAAATGTTGTTCCATTGTTTTGCAATGAAAAATCTAAGCTTTCAAACTCCCTTTTTATACTAGCATTTGGCCCACATACAGACAGAGAAGAATTAATTGATAGGTAGTTAATTTTTTTTGGACTGTTGTTTTCGATCAAGTGCAATGCTACATGGACATTCTCCATGTTTTTCAGGGCAATAGAAAACCAAATTTCGTTTAACAAATGGTAATCTATAGCATGCCTGCTACCAGTCCTAACTCTGAAAGGTGCAATTAAAAACCAAGCATAAAAAATTGTTCAAACAGTGCTCATTTAGTCCGACCCAAGCCCAAAACAAGTTGAGCCCGAATAATTCGGTTCAATTATCAAATTTGTTGTCAGGTCCATCAGATATTCATATTTTTTTATCATCACAATTAATTTTGGGAGGATAGGGTTTGAAATTTATACCTTTTTTATTTTTAAAATTTTTAGAAGTTTAATTTTTTATTATGAAATAATGCTTTTCTTCAAGCCCCATTCAACACTTGGATTATATAATGACTCTTAGTTACCATTTTTTCTAATATTTTTTTCAAAAATATTTAGTTTTTAGCCTTGATAATTTTTCAATTTTTTTTTAACCCTCCTATTAATTAGTGCATAGAAGGTGGGTGAAAGGTGTAAAAAAATAAAATTTAAAAATATAAAAGGTAGGCAATCATTTGAAAGCAAGATAGTTCAAATGAATATTTAGATAGATTACTTCATACAAGGAGTGTTGTTCATTAGCATCACACAAGTTATTCGTGAGAGATTCTATTGTATTTATATGAAAGTCAAAATTAAGGTCTAAGTGCATATTCTAAACACTAAAGCATATATATAATCCTGCCAAACTATCATAGCTATAAAAATCAAAATCAAACTATTGAATAAAAAAAATTGGTGTCGTTTTCACTATGGGGCCATGAGGCAATTTTTTTGCCACCAAAAAGTTATCACTTTAATTGGTCCCCCCCCCCCCCCCCCCCC